TTTTATTGGCCTAATTGATCAGATCCGCCTTTTCCTATTGTAGCAGCTCCTGCTCTGTTGCCTCTATAAAGCACTCACAGAAAAGCCGAATATCCCTACGATGATGTATGATGCATTACATTTAACAGTTTATGTCATGGCACCTAAAGAAGGCGTGTCCATGGAATGAGCTGTGGGCGTGGCGGCGACGGCATATTCAGAAACATTGCCCTACGTCTCTGCCATCGTTGCTCAAAAAACCGCTAACGTTTCTGAATACCTCACAAAAAAGCTGCCGCTACTTCGCCCAAAACCAGTTCCGTAGACACGCCCCCTCAATGTATGAACAAGAGAACGTGTCTGATACATGACTCACTTTCAAAGCGTTTATTAGACAACACAAAAACGCTAGTTACCCACCTTTGCATTATTTCATCAACCCTAGTTTCACGAATGTGACTAAAGAAGTGGAAAATTTATACGAATATTATTTTTCACAATTGCCTCTCTTCATGTACCATTTCATAAAACAAAACTCTGAAGACACGAGTATATTTATTACATGGTCACTCAAAATAAAGGTCTTAATATACTTGGGAGGGACACTTTATTGACTTCTTATGCAGAACTGGAAGCGATTTCATCCAAACAACTCCTCATCTCTATGATGGCAGGTTTCGTTTTGCACAAGGAGTCCCTCAAATGCCGCTCCCAGATAAAACCGTAACAGCAAAGCTCAAAGTAGGAGGTACAGAAAAGGTAGAATTTGTGGTGACTTTTTGTGATCCAATGAATCCTCGGTATCTGAGGAGATCACACAGATTTCTACTGAGCAGTAAAAGCATTGGGTACAATGAAAAAGGGATGAAATAGAGGGATAACATCAAGGGCTATGCGGAAGACTGGAGGTCTGGATATACACAAAGCAACGTGACGAAATTTATTACAGAAAAATAGAGAAATGGCAGTTTATCTCGATTGTCAGTCTAATCATGCGTAGGGGTTGGAGGGTCTTTTCAAAGGAAGTAAGTAGCATCGGTCAGGAGATCCGCGTTGTAGCTGCGCTAACAGAGCGCGACATGAGCGGCCTGGCCCTTAGCGAATGGCGATGCGTCATCAGACACTGTTGTCGCGTGTTCCCGCAGGGTACAGCATCGATGCAAGCATCCATTAGGGGACCCTATTTGGTCGATGGTGAGGGGGTCGTGTTTGGTCGAAGGGGGGTCGTTTCAGGCTGTAGGAGAGATTTTTCTGAGCCGCGAGAGAAGTTTCTCGTCTCCACCCCTCTCCTTCCCGCTCCCCCCCCTCCATGACTACTGCTACCATGCAAGTACTATTTGATCAGTAGTTTTGGTGGTAGCCTTCCTCTCCGGTAGCTGGCAGGTTCTCGGAGAAACAAAAATGTTTCAAAACCGGGAAAAGGTGTAGGAAACTTGGGTGAGCTTTTGAAGATTTGATGTCGGATGGGGAAGGAGGGAGGGGGGGGGAGGGGGGGGGGGGCGGGAAAAGAGGAGTAGTTTCGGAAGGAGAAATCAAGAGGTAAGGGTCGTTTGACACCACCACTTCTCCCATCGCGATGCTGTACCCTGTCCGCGCGACGTCGCAATGTGGATCTCATGACCGATACCCAAACATAAGGTGCCCAAATAGTGTGGTCCAACTCGGCTTGGTGGGGGCATTAAATGGTACCTTGCGAGGCTCGTACAAGCTACTTTGTGAAAGCCTGCAAATTCCCGTAACTAAAGGAGCTCACTTTTACCATCTCGCAGCCCTTCATGAGTTTACGGCGGTTACCGTGTTACTAATATGTACTAGTGAGAAAATTGTAACAGTGCAAACACACCCCTCCAAGCCAAGCAGCACGAATTTTAGATTCCTAATTTGCAAACAAAATCAGTTTAGGTACAATTGGGCTAATAACATTCATCCATAAACAATCTGTCTTTTCCGAGATCACTTAGTGAACTTGAATATCTTTCATGTTAGGATAAAGGGGTGGTGGCGGGTAGGCGGCGACCGCTTGTGGTGGCGGATAGGTGACGACGCCTTGCGCGAGATATTCTGGTCGAGCGACGATCACATCGTCGTGATGGTGGTGATGATGAAGGTTCGTGTGGATTACCACTGGTTGTGTAGCATACTGAACCCTGTTGCTCTCAATAACGACCTCGTGGTCGTGATGGTGATGATGATCGCTGTCATATCGATGACGATGTTTCTTGCTGAGAATCACTATGAAAGCGTGAATCACACCCGGAACGAAGAATAGCAACGTTAGCAAGCAGTTCGTCCAAAACGATCGATGACAACCGCGATCGAACAGCACGGCCAATGGCTGAAAAGGTGAAAATTATGACCGTGAGAGTGCGCCGCGCATTCCAAATCTACCCAGGAAACCAAGCACATTTTTATTGCCATTTTTGTCTGTATTGGGATCTTTAAGGCTAAAGTGAATAAGCACAAGTGGTCTGTCTGCATGAGAAAGTCTACTGGCATTTAGGAGAGCCCTAGGAGCAGACCGATCTCGCGGATCGCGTGTGCGCTAAGCCGGCTATACTGTTCTGCCACCAACACATGCAAAAACAGCAGCTCAAATATATTGATACAGTGCAGGGCAGGGGCGAACGACAGGGCGTTACACTGTCAGAGGACTAGGTTGGTCGAGCTGGTTCAGATGGCTTTCAGGCTGTGTTCATCAGGGCAAGGAAGCGTTCCCTATCGCTGGGGGAATTTTCTCGAAATGGGACCCCTCAGAAGTTCCTCATCAGTCACAACCGCCCCCCGCCCTGTCCTACCTACTACATTCCTAGATTCTCCCAACTCTCTAACAGTTCTCGGTGCTCTTGTCCAAAAATTTTTAGGTCCGTTCCCGAAGAACAAAGAATTTCCGTATAGCGAGAGGGAAGGGTAGTTCTTAAAAGCGAATACGATTCCCTGTTTTCCCTCCAGCGACCAAATGGGACCAAATCCTCGTCGCTGGAAATACTCGCGACGTGCCCTGGCGTTCATTCTTAGCTCGCAACAGTGTTGCAGTTCGAGGGTCCGATACTTATGGTACCTGGAGCTCGGAAGATAGACAAGGGCTTTGTTGCGCGAGTGCAGATGTCGCGAACTCTGAACGCTGCCTCAGGCATACAGTCCCTCAGACATCGCAGGTGACCTAATTTTGCCCCTGATTGCCCACACCAGCTACTTTTGACTTTGGAGCTCAGCTTATGTGTCTGTAACATCCACTGCTTTAAATGGGGGATTGGGTGAAGGGTTACGGTAAAACTGTACTGTTCAACAATATGACAACCGTGTTCTTCTCACCAGGACTGTCTCATAAAGAAGTCCATTTCAGATGTATTGACCTGTTCAAAACTCACCGGCGTAAACAAAGCCAGGATACACAACAAGAGCTTGCACATTGTCAAATATCCTAAACAAACATTCAATAGTTACTGCAACACATTCGATAGGAATTATTGAAACGCTCGAAACAGAAAAAAAAATTGGAGAAGGCGCAATAAGAACCGCGCTGTAGTAAAAGGGTTCTTTGTACAAAAATGGATAATTGTATGAAGATGATTACTTTCCCCCAGTTTCGAGGGTTGGGGAGTTCTTTCTGATATCGGGTGCTAGTATGATGAAACTGAACTTCTGCCTTCTTGATAGCAAGTGGCTGCGAAGCTAGTGGACCAAAGAGGCCCCACATCTAATTGGATAACGTTAGTTCCACTTCTGCACAAGGAATCGGTTCCCTATTACGGTTACTAAGGCCATCCAAGAAGGCGACCACTGCCCTTAAAGAGACACTTGCCTTTGTGGGCAAATCCGAAAGAGAAGTAAGTTTGTTCATCCCAGTGTGAATAAGTCCCTGCGTTTTATTTTCAGGGCAAAGGTAAAAAGATCAAAAAATTATAATTCAGATGTCGAGTCTTGGCAAAGGCTGTTTGAAGGCAGAGCCGGCGTTCATTTGATGTTCCTACGCCCTCCTTGGATATCGTAGCTTTGTCGACAAGGGTGAAGGATGTACTAATTTCGCAGCTCAAAAATACGAGAGGATGGCGCCACCCGCTTGTGAAGAGGATGCCGTCCCGCCCACCTGACTCCACAACTGCTTTGGCTCAGCCTTAAAGGCTCAACCTTAAAGGCCAGCCCGCTTTCAAATAATGAGTTATGAGGCTCATATAGTAATAACAGGGTAGCAAGTGATCCAGTAGTGAAGAAAAAAGCAGAAAAAAAATTATGGGAAGTGCCCTATATGGAACCCTTTGCTGAACTGTAGTCGCACGGTTCTCTCTTGTTGGTATCAGTTGTTTTCCCTTATCACCTCATCTTCATTCGATGTGGAGAGAGTCACTAGCAGAACAACTGCACCATCAGGTATTAGAAATGAACCTTGTTGCAGCCAGGTGAGCGAAGCGGTAACCTCTCGATGGTGGGTGGCGCCACACTCTCGTATTGTTGAGCTGCGAAATCAGTGCATCTTTCATCTTTGTAGGCAAGGCTACGATATCCAAGGAGAGCGTAGGACACCAAATGAACTGCCTGCATATACACTTCCAGGAATTTTTGAAGTTTTCATTTCACGTTATTCATTTGCAATAAGCAGCAAGTCATTCTGAACAACTGGTTCTTCCCAACGTCCAACACGGGCTGGTCGATTTCAGTGGTTTAAAGGAGAAAGTGGTCCACGTATCAGACTACTTTAGAGTTATTCTTGGGTGAAATAAAGAAAAATCATGGATAAAGAGAAACGGCTCATTCACTAAGTCTAAAAGTGAACAAGTGAGAAATATCGACAAAGGTCGCAACTAAGAGGTACAGGTCCCCCCCCCCTTGAAGAAAGCACTATAATACGCTTTGGTAATAACTCATGAGAGTATGTCTATGTAACTGTGTCATTTATCATAAAATGAAACGAAAAAAATCAATAAAATATAACATCTAACGGTCAGAACTTAGGAGGGATGTCAAGAAATTTTTACGAAACTGAAAGGCACAAAATGCTGACTGCGTCAGAAATGTCAACGCACGAGTTCTTATCTATACTTTATACCAAGCAGGGCTTATCAGCAGCAGAGATGCACATTTTTAGTGTGAATTGTTAGCAGTGACTCAGCTTCTATACAGATATGACGCCGACGTACGGTTGAACGTAGCGAACTACTCTGAGAACAAAGATCGGGTTAGACCAAGGTAGCGCAGTGGTTAGAAGTACTAGATTATCTAAAATCTTTAGCGTCGAATTTTTTTGCCAAGCCTTTCATTCTCAGGTGTGTTCGGTCGAAACATTAAGGTCAAACGCTGTGTCGGGACGGTGTTGATATATGCGTCTTACGAGTGCACTATCTGGAGAATTTGGATGGAACAGAAGTGCATGGCCCTCCCCGAGGTAACTGGTCAACTCTGAGCGGTTTTTTCATCTCCTCACAGTAGAATTACATTTATCGATTTTTTGCGCCATTGTATGATGCATTATTTGAGCGCAGGTGAGCGATGATATTGCCTCGGCCAACATTCCTAGAGACAAAACTATGCGTCAACTTATGAGTAACAGGCTTGACGATAAGCAGTGCCTCTCAGAGAACTGTGCTACCTAATGGAGATATTGGTGATTACACCCAGCGGGCGTAGACTATAAGTGCAGCATATTTAACTCAGCATACATAGAGGAAACAAGAAGAGCATTATCAGCTAGCATCAAACAGGGGAACGGCGTGGTAACCTGCCGGTACCGTTGAACAAACATAGAACAGAGCAGCATGATGGAGATGTTTTTGATATCAAGACAGAGACATTTCGCCCACGAGACAGAGATTCCTAGAGAACCTCTGGCTGCTCTTATCTTGGGATTTCAGCCCGGAATGCAGGAATGAACAGCCGAAACGAGTGTGTATACATTACTGAAGATATTCCGCTTTTCACGCGGAACATGTGAATTGCATACAACGGGAGATAACTTCGAATAAGCTACTAAGGTACCATGTGACCGAAACTCTGAGCTACACTCCAGCGGTGGAATACAAGGAGTGCTTATTTTCTACCTTCCGGAGCTTTCCCTTTGCGCTCGTTGAGTGAGAGTGTGCGGAAGGCAACATGGCGTTTGGAAAGGTACATTTGTAGGGCTTAAGCCTTTACAAAATGCCTTGCTTCAACTCCATACGAGCTGTTATAGGCTCACGTTCTCGCTGACTGGCCTACTTAAGAGCCTAAACAAACAATAGCTGAGCCCACAGTGATCGCGTTAGCGGTTTCAGACCTACTATTCCCTCCAGTTATGCGAATTCCTCCTAGAATTTACTTTGGGGGAGAAGCATCGCAATCTGTGAGGAGGACACCGGGTTAGGTGCCGCGCCAACCTGACGCAGCGGCGGAGTGCGTAGCTTATTTAGGGCGACGGCCAAAGACAAAATAAAGCACCGTCAATATCTCACGTCCAATAATTATTACGATGGTATTGATATTCTTGTTATTATATTATGAAACCACACAACAGACAGCAACAACCTGTACAAGAACGCACTTTAATATATTTCTACAGATGTGTACACGCTTTGAAACATATTAAGGCTAGAAAGGCAAAAAATATGATAAAATAGTCAATAATAACTCGATCCAGTGCTGAGAATCAGAGCCAACGGTGTATTTGAAGGTTTTGCTTCGATGATGATATAGGCATCATCGCTTGAATATCCTGAAGCACATGCGCCATCAAACGTCAACGGTACCGGTCTCGCCGCGGTCTGTTCGAATGTGACCATTTCCTACACGAATTTGCTTTACGACATCAGCCGAATGGTCAGTCGCGGTATTGTTTTCCGCAACAGACATATTCCTGTCCTAGGGAGCGTTCATGCTTCACCGGCGTGAGCCGATTTAATTAGCTGCGAGTGTGTTTCAACCTTGCGCCTGGCGCTTCATCGGTAATTCTTGAACTTCAAGGACCAGAAGGAGGAGAATGCGATTTCTTTCTCAAACGCGATTGGATTTGCAGTAGCTTGTCCAATGCATCAGCGTGTACGGTAACCGTCTTATTTGACCTTTCGTCGGTCCTCTTACCTCTATAAACTGCTGATGATGGCAGTGGTGGTAATCTTAGTTCCTACGACGCCAGTCATTCATTGCGTGACTCGAGTGGGTAGCTGTCTGACAGGCTGGCCGGTAGCAACACCCGGAATGTTCTTCACTGGTGCTCGGGTGTTCGCAATGGCCCATAATCACTAAAAGTAGTTTGGCAGGGCGCCGTTAGAGCGTTTCTGGATTTTCGGATTGATTGGGATTGGGCTGATCTGTAAAACAATTCACCATAGGAAAGGGGCAAATCATAAGTTACAACGACCAGTGCACGTCGCACGTCGAGGACTTCCAGCAAGGGGGTTATATTTGGTCGCTGACGGAGGGAACTTGAATTTGCCTTTGAGAAAAATGTTTTCCGTTGTTGACTTGTCTAGGTTTTCCTGTTTTGAATTCAGTAGACACATCGCCCAACGGCAGTTTCTTGGGGAAAAATAGAATGATCCTTGAAAAAATCCAAGAAAAGGCTTGATGAAAACGTACACAGCCAGCCGTGGCAATGGATTCCATCTTCAACGGTTTTTGTTGCTGTCGCTTTTGAACGTCTTGGTTCAATTTGTATTGCGAGTGATGTTCGTGAACACAACAGGAAGAAAACAGGAAAATGGAGTAACCTCTTTATTTACATTCATAAAGTCATAAACAGTTACAAATCCTATAAACGCTGCTTATTGAAAGCAGCGATCTAAAACTGACACCTACGCGATTCTAATGACTGCTCTATCCCTATCACATCTCTGGCATCTTCCAAACTCGGTAAGGCCAAGTTGAGACTCCGCAATGACGCGCGTCTACCACGGCAGTGGCGCTCCAGTGCCCTCAGACGGGAAAATCGCAGAACGGTATAGATCGGTGCTAGTGTTTTGAAAGAGTATAGAATGACAGGAGGGTGAGCGCTCCTTCACGCGGTCTGGTACTCTCCTTTTCTTCCACACTCCCTACACTAGCGGCTGGCGCCGATCAATACCAGACCGCGATCAGACAGACGTTATTGTTATCCTGTACTCTCTCAAAGCATAAGCGTCCGGTTTGATCGATAAACGTATGCGGCTGAGTTTAGCTCTATAGTACTGGAACGCCATCGCAGTGGTAGCGTGTCGACGGGCGTTACCGCGCGTTGCAGCGCGTCAGCGCGAAGTCTGGACGCCACCTAGTGGTTCCTAGCCTATATTTTTGAGACACCCGCGAAATTGGAGCCCGATTTTGCTGAAAGGATCTCTCTATGCTAGTCATTTATATCGGTGATCAACGTCGCGAGAACATGGTTGCACTATTCTGTTGAGCGCAAGGTTTATTAAGAGATTCGTTATGGTTTGACTTGGGAGTGAAGAAGAGAGGTGTTTTGCTA